AGCCCGCACTCTCTTCTTTCGCCGAACATGAAGCCTCGCAATCAACCCAACAAACTATTGACGCTCCAAAGAACACACCCCCCGAAGAGTTCGCTAGCACGTTGAATCAGTTCAGTAACGATATCGTACTCAAGGAACAACAATTAGAGATTCTGTTTAATAACCTGCCTGGTATGGGAATTTCGGAGAAGGAGCAGGTGGAGAGGATGAAGGAGTTGCAGAGGCAGCTAGATGAGATTGAGCCGGAGAGGTTGGAGGCGGTGAGGGAGAAGGATAGGTTGATTGAGAGGGTGGAGAAGGGCATTGTGGGGGTGGGAGGAGTATGAAGGTGAGGAAAAGATGAAATTTCTTGTTCGTGGGGGACAATTGCATGTTTAAATTTTAGAAAGGCGTTTGGAATTGGGATATACCCCGGGATCACATTCCCCATTCAATCATTTCACGGTTGTGAAAAGTACGAAACTTGTCTATAACAAGATAAATTGATGTTTTGGTGATCTTGTGCGAAAAAGATGAAAGCAACTGAAAATACAGAGGTGAAGGAGATCGAGGAAATTAAGGAAAATCCAGTCCTGCTTTGCTTTACAAATCCATTCCGTCCACAAGGTATCCTATGACAAAATCCATGCGCCTATACCAACAAAACGCCGTGTACACAATCGATTCTCAGTTTTGTTGAATCTGAGAGATGTGGCCCTGCTGTGCAGCCGTTGCAGCACCCCAGTCACTCTCGTCATCACTTCCCACATCCGTCCAGCTGTTTGGGGTCATGATACCAGCCCTGTCACCAAGCTCGCTGAAACCAGCTTCTGAAAAGCCAGCATCGGTGAAGCCACCTTCTGAAAACACCTCTGACCGGGTGTCATGGTCCATATCATTTTGCATAGAGAGTACAGCAATGTCATCGGCGTGGCTTCCGACAACAGATGCGCCGGTGAATGCAGATCGTTCGGAACGAGGTGTTAATGTGCCGGCAGAGACATTCTCCACATCTGAGTCTAAGTCCATGATAGGTGCAATAAAGGGGTGGGTTGAATCATGCATAGAGCCGGAGGCAACTGAGTAAAAGGATTGTGCAGCTTGTTCGGACTCGTCGATTTCGGATTGAGGGATTGATGCTGTCTGGGCGTTCTCGGCTAAAGATTCGGGAGTCAAGTCAATCAAAGGGTCTGATGCAGTGGATGGTACGACAGGGGCAGCGTCTGCTTCAACGGTAGCTGAGCTTTCTCGAGTTTCGACGTGTGTGAATGGTTGCGGCGATGGAGCTTGTTCTTCGGTATCAAACAAAACTTGAGCGTTGGTATCATCAAAGGGATTCGAGGCAGCCGCTGATCCAGCGGCAAAGCCAGCCGGTCCACGTCTTCGCAAGTTGGTGTCCACAGTTTCAGTTTCAGTTCCAGTAGCAGTCTGGACCTTGCCAACATCCTTTCTTAGCATACCATCGCTGCCGACAAGATCATCAAAGGATCGCTGGCTGGCGTTCGTCTGACCTCGACTTCTACGCTGCGCCATCTCTATATCTTCACGACCGATCTTCGCAAGCTCGTCAAGATCCACAGCCACGCCCTCTTCCCTAGCGCGCTTTATTAATTCATTTCGGTTTTGTCTTATGATTTCTTCTCTCCTTCTCTTTCTATCTTCGAAGTCTTGGGAACTCTCGGAAGATCGGCGCGGCTGGATCTCATCTCCGAGGGAATGCAAGGCTATGGCGATTTTACGGCGAGACTGGTCGACCCATTGTCGAACTTGGGGAGATTCATAGATCGCGATTCCTGCAGCAACAAGTACGGACGCTGCGATTATAAGACCTGTGGCGAATGGAGCGTTAGACGGGCGCGAAGCACGGTTTCCATGCGGACAACGCTGATACGGAGAGGAAGAGCGATGACCAGGCCCTGCGAGCAGGTTGGTAAAAGTTCATAAGACACGATTTACGTGATACAACAGAAGGTGAAAGCAGGTATAAGGAAATCAAGGGGTGCTTTGCGTTGTGGACAAGGCATGAGGATGCGGTTCACGTACCTTTAGCCAGTGGCGCAGGCATGTTTCCTTTGCCTCTCGGAAACTCCGACAGATGCGGAAAGCAGGTTACCGATGTGAAAAAAGGGGACAAAGAGTCAAAAAGAGCTGTAGCAAACACAAGACAACTTCACGCTCGTAGCCAAGTTGGCTTGATTGTAAGAAGAGTAAGGGAGTGGAACTGGAAGGAACGGGAAAGTAGAGGAGGTCCGTTGCCCAGATGTATTCGTAAGTGTGACCATCGGTGGCGCGGCTTTGGCGGGGCGGCGGAGGCGCGGGGAGTTTGGGACTTGGCTAACACTAGCGCTAAACTTGTCGTTAACAATGGGCACCTGAGCGACCGCTGCATCGCTATTCGCCCCTTATGGCAAGATAGACGAGAATGTATGTCAAAGTGCCCTGTAGAATAGTTCTGATAGCGAATTTGAATGTGAGTTAACAGACTGCGCTGACCTCAACGTTTTAGCCTGCTGTTGAGGTACACGATTCAACAAGACCTATGGGGCCCTTCACCGGATGTGGCATGTGGTTGCCTTGCTGCGGCTGTGGGAAACTTACGCGTTCCTTGAAGCTTCCTAGATTCTATCCTCTAAATTTGCAGCTCTCGTATCCACGCCACCTAAACTATCTATGTGGTATTCCCCAAAGATTCATGTATAGACCGAATGTAAAAAAGTGTTCAGACGTCCCTATGCCCCTCGTTTTCCTCTAATTCTCTTTTCTTAAGCGTATGTTCATGGCTTATGCACCAAAAGCATGCTAGGATTCCCAGTGCGCTCGAGACCAAAGTAACATAATAGGCTGTCCGGTAACAGACAAGTCCCTCATCACAACTCCTTTCCCCACCCGGCTGGATCTCAGAATGGGCATCGTATACAGCCCCATAAAACAGGTTGAAAATGTTACCACTGACAACAGGTGCCATGGTCATGAAGCCCCAGTTGACTGCGAATCCATTGGGGCCGAAAGTGTCTACCACAAGGGCGGGGAAGACACCAAAAAGAACTCCGTATGCCAGGCCGTTCAAGCTAGAGACCGTCCATAGATAATGTGGATTCTCGATACGAATAGCAAAAATCTGGCCAAGCATGAAAATTGTTGCTGAGACACCAGCGCACCAGAATCGGGACATGTGCAGCTTCTTCACAATGATGTCTGAGCTTATACCAGAAGAGAGACGGCCCAGGAAGCTGAAGACAGAAAGAATGGACACATGCATTAGCTGGCGATGAGCAACAAAATCCTTGTCAGCCGACTGATCAAAATGGTTCCAAAGGGCCTGGACATCGTGGCCGATATTACTGTAGAAATCAGTCCATGCGGTAGTACTATGCTGAAAATGGCAACATACTTGATTGTCATGAGGCCAACACCAGTGAGGAGGCCCATGAGAACCCACAGCTGCCAGAATTGAATCTTGGAAAGCAAATCTAAGCCCGTAACGTCTATCCTTTGTGAGCGATGTGTTGCCTGACTCTGAATGTCGTCTTCAATCTCGTCTATGATATCCCCAGGAACCGACAGCAGCGATGAGCTTTCATCTGAGTCGTCTTCTCGTTGGTTATCGGGTGCTATGGATTTGGTTGGCCACTGATATGGGGCACAGGAATATATACGAAAGAAAAATGAGAGGCTGTACTTACTTGGCTCCGGTCGCGGAATTGAACTGTTACTGTATTTACTACCATTTGACTTCGTTCTATGAAGCAAATTAGAATCACGCCGTGTACGTTGACTGGTCGGGACGGCAGTATAATCTGTGCCTTTCTGGTGATCCACCACTTGAAGAAAGGGTATCGAAACCAAAACAAGAGAAGAAGTTGCTATGGCAAGAAGAAGGAGGAATCCTGCGGTATCGCCTGGAAACGCAAAGCCGGCTATCATAGTGTAAAAGAAGGCGCTCAGGCCAAATGCGGCTAATGGGAATGCCGTTGCCGTCCCGCGGTGTGTTGGCCAATTCAGTGTTGCTGATCTGGTCAGTCGTTGCCACGCAGTGTCAAGAGTGTCCTACCTGTCTTGAGGGCGCCCTGGAAGGCAGCACAGCTGCCGACACCTGTGAGAAAGGAAAAGAATGATATAAGAGCCACGCTCATAGACCCAACCCCATTGACATATGCTATCTCACATGTCAGCCTCACCGAATGGCATACGAGTCACTAACGACAAACCAGATCGAATTGGATAGTATCCCAGCCCCAGTGATAGCATACCAATAACGGTAGCCAAGCGAGGACTCTTCCTATCTGTTATTATACCCATTGGTATACCCGAGGCGTACATTCCAAGATTGGCTGCGGTGCCCTGAAACGGTAAGTTGGCGAACTCGAGAGTGAGGATTTGAAGTCATACAATAACGTTGGCTTGCGTCGCAGACAACTGTAACTTCTCAGCGAACTGTGGCGCCCATGCTGAGTAGGCATACTGAAGCAAGTTAGCGGTTGCGCAGGAAACATGGAGCTTTTGACGAACATTGGTTCCGCAAGCCAGAGAAATGGCAGTCGCTGCGACGACGGAGACAATCCGCGTCTTGAAGTGAGTTGGCTTTTCTTCCAACATGATAGTGCGCTCAATGAGCACGGAAATTGCGTTATAATAGCTCGTTCATCGAGAGTTGTCGAACCAGGGAAATCGACAGATGTAGCTCGGAGGTTTCGATATCGTCACGTTTGGCCTGCTTCAGGCGCTTCAAAGGGACGTGACAAGTTCTACGTGAGTAGTCGACAGGATAGTCGTTCCAAGTGGAGAAGAGACAACGCAGGAAATGAGCGGCCACGCGATTGTAATCCAGATCAAGAGTAACACTACTGGGTTGGATACTGTTGAGTCCACTGATACCGGAGCCGGTCTCGGAGATAAGTCATGCATCCAGCTGCCAAGCGCCACGCGTCACCTGTGACTCCAGAGCAGCCCTCAATGACGGCTGGATATTTGCCAGGAATATGAATATACTAAACGATCGAACTTTCATCAAACAATTCGAAGGCTGAATGGTCTAGCGGTATGATTCTCGCTTTGGGTTCTGTTATCCAACATGCGAGAGGCCCCGGGTTCAATCCCCGGTTCAGCCCCTTCATTTTTTGCTTTTTGCTGCCGTCAATCTGCCATGGACAGTGTTCGGCAATATCATGCGCAGATGGGTATTGTTTTGGGAATACTTGCTGTGACAGAGATCTCAAGACAAACAGATCACGAGACAATCTTTTTGGTCTCCGTAACTGATATAATATCCAACGAATAGTCTTTTTGCATGCTAGTAGAAGTTTGCTTCTGGATCAAAAAGTAGATCGTAGGCACTAAACAATACATCATTTAAGTCTTATATTGAGAGAGCATTAGTGTTTAGCATAGCGAAGTCTTTTTGACAACAGGTACTTGATAACTGGTAGCTCGGAAATTACTTGGCGATGACTTAGCAAGGTCCCAACGTCACCAGACGTCCCGGGAGGCGCCCGAGGCGCAACTCGTCTGCCGCCGCGCATCAACACCTCTTCCTCCCTCAACCACACCACCACCACCCACATCTGCAACCATGGGCGCCGCATTATCGATACCGTTTATGGTGCTACCCAGCATGGGCACAGTTCGTACTCTAGACCATCATGACTCCGGGCGACTACTGACAACATCCGCAGGTCTGGGGCCTGGCCGCCTCCTGCTGTGGTGCTGCTACCTGCAGTGCCGTCTTCGGTTCCTGTGGAGGGAAATGCGGTAACAGCATTGCTACCCGAATCGCATACGCTCTTATTCTCCTCTTCAACTCCATCGTCTCCTGGATCATGCTCACGGATTGGGCTATGAAGAAACTGTCGCACCTCACCCTCGATTACGTGGACATTAAGTGTCACGGTGAACAATGCTATGGATATGTCGCAGTTCAGAGAATCAACTTCGCGCTCGGTTTATTCCACGTCATCATGGCCTTGATACTCATCGGTGTCCGTTCCTCTAAGGATGGTCGTGCGCCGATCCAGAACGGTTTCTGGGGACCAAAGATCATCGGCTGGCTGTTGACGGTCGTCCTCACTTTCTTCATTCCGAACTCGGTCTTCATCGTCTGGGGCACATACTTTGCGATGATCGGTGCTTGTCTGTTCCTCCTCATCGGGCTTATACTGCTTGTTGACCTTGCACACAACTGGGCCGAGTATTGTCAGGAAAAGATCGAAGTTACGGAATCTCGTATTTGGACCGGGCTTCTTGTTGGCTCTGCCTTATTCATGTATCTTGCCTCGTTTGCCATGACAACAGTCATGTATATCTTCTTTGCCAGGAGTGGGTGTGGAATGAACCAGGCCGCTATAACCGTAAGTTCCTACTCGATATTTTCATGTTTGCCTTCCAGCTAACCACCAACAGATCAATTTGCTGCTTCTCCTAATCTCCTCGGTTGTTTCCATTCACCCCGCCGTTCAAAGCGTCAACCCCCGGGCTGGATTAGCCCAGTCCGCCGTTGTCGCGATATATTGTACCTATCTTACCCTCTCCGCTGTTGGCATGGAACCGGATGACCACCAGTGCAACCCACTTGTCCGAGCTCGCGGTACACGTAAGGCAACTATCATCCTCGGCGCAATCGTAACATTCGTCACTGTGGCGTATACGACCACCCGTGCGGCCACTTATGGATTGGCTCTTGGCTCGCAAGGAAACTCATATGGCAATGGTTACCACCAAGTCGGTACGGAAGACTATGAACACGGTTTAGTTGTTCAACAGCCGGAATCTCGTCGTGAGATGCGCCAGGCTGCACTACGCGCTGCTGTCGAGAGCGGCTCACTTCCCGCTTCCGCTTTGGATGAGACCGACAGTGAGGATGAGGATGAAGGCCCGTCCAAGAACCCCCGCGACGACGAACGAAACGCCACCCAATACAACTACAGCCTGTTCCACGTCATCTTCTTCCTTAGCACCACGTGGGTAGCTACCCTTCTTACATCGAACTTCGATGAAAAGGATTTCCAGAACGACTTTGTTCCTGTCGGTCGAACCTATTGGGCTAGTTGGGCCAAGATTATCAGTGCATGGGTGTGCTATGGCATCTACACCTGGAGCCTTGTCGCTCCACTTGTCTTGCCTGATCGCTTCGATTATTAAGGCACACAGCATGGAATAAGGTCATATTTGGGCATATTTGGGATATTTCATCATTGTAATACTACTTTCCTTTTTTCCATTATGTAGTCATCGATACCATCGTTTCCTAGAAATTCATTTTGCATTCTCCACATATAAAAGTCAACTTAACTCCGTTTTTAGACTTGCTGCACCACTGCCACAATGATCTAGATGTTACACAATATCCTTCATCTCATCTACATCACTCTCCCACTTCTCCGTTGCTGCCTTAATCCTCAAGTCCCTAACCATCTTCCTCAACTTCCTATTCTCCTCCCTGAGTAAATCCGCCTCAGTTCTCTTAGCCCTTAACTGCTCCTCAATCTCCACCTTCACATTCCCCAACTCTGCGAGATCGTAAACCGCGCTCCTCTTCTCGCGTTCCGATTCGTGCAAAGCCCTATCGCCGTGAACAATACGATGGCGCAATGCTTCCAGCATTTCGGTATAAACACGGAGAATATCGTCCAGCTCGCACTGAATCTGTGCTATCCGGGGCCTGCGTCTGGTAAGGAGAGCTCGGAGATGTTCGGTTTTGACCCTGAGTTGGGGGGAAAGGGGTGCTGTGGGTGGAGGGAGGGGGGGCATCTTGCGTGAAGCCGAGGAGGGGTGGGAGGTGAAAATGGTCACTAGTGATTCTTTGATTATGTTAAGGGCTTTCATTGTTGCTTGGGTGTGCGAGTGAAGAGAAAGCATCGATAGAGACTTTCAGGGGGGTTATGGGTTTAAAAGAGGCTGTTGGTGAAGACACGGTGCAAACGCTGTTGCGACAACTGTGGTGTGATGTGCTGGGTTCTCCATTTACACGTCTATCGATATAGTTGTGGAAGTTATGATCGACTATGGAATGGTGTTGTGGACTTCGGTGTGTTGGTATGGGGAGGGTTGAAGATGGAACATCAAACTACCTTCATATCGTGCGTGATAATGGCACAAAATCCACAAAAATTCGACATCAGGTAAATACTGCAAAAGAAACGAGGATCAAGGCTCACAGAATATCAATTCTGCTATATGAGGAAAAGAATTCTGCGAAACTGAAGATTTTAGTGTTTTGGTGAACTTATCATGTACTTGGGCAATAGGAAAAGTGGGGAAAACGTAAGCGACCACATTTAGTCCCGAACAAATTACAGTATGTTCATAGACCATGTAACAACCGCAGTGAGAGTATTCCATGCTACTTTAGGGTGTGGGATTGCCCCGCGGTTTGGGGTCTTGTTTTTTCTATCACCGTTTGCCATTGGCGTATGCATTTACAGTGTTTGATTACTAGAACGGTGTATTAGCACAATCAGGAGACGGACGGTTCGTTACTCTTAGCAATCCAAGAGCCAAAGCTCCAGTTGATAGATAATGGTATGTAGTTTACGTGATCAAATTTGCTTTATACATTGATTTGTGCAAAATATTTGCGCTGGACTGTACAATCCATGCTTTTCTTACTTCCAAAATATTTACATAGAAAGCGTCAAGCTATCCCGATGTCCCTTTTACATCCCTTTTTCATCCAATCATCTATGCGAGCCTGTTCCACCTGTGCAACTTGGCCTTGGTGGTGGAGCCAATCTCACCCCACTTGATGTTGCTGAAGACCAGGGAGGGGTTGGGGTTGATGGTGGAGATAACCTTGGGGTCACCTTCAGTAGCACTGCAAGGTCCAGCAGAGCCGCTGTCGAGCCACTTCATGAAACCACCCTCATCCCACCAGATGGACATAGCAAGGACCATACCGCGGGAAAGAGCCTGACCCATACCCTTGGTAGCACCGAGCTTCTTGTAGATCTCTGCACCGTTCTTCTGTCCGCTCTTCTCACAGAAGGCGTCATTGATGGGACCGGTGAGATTGACAGCAGCGTTTTGGATGACTTTGCCGTCTTGGATGTACCAGCGAACATACTCCTGGAGGATACCGTTCTTGGCGGGGAACTGAGAGACGACGGTGAATGGGCGAGAGGTGTCGACCTTGAAGTCAGCGGAGGGTCCGTAGTAGCCGGTCTCGCCTGTCTTGTAGGGGTTCATGCCGCATCCGTCCTTGTCGCAGACACCATTGGCCGCGCACTCCTCGCCAGTGCACTTGTAGAGACCGTCCTTGCTGCAAGGGTGAGGGGCAAGATGGGTGGCACGGCTGTTGGCCTCCCAGATATCGTGCTCGTTGCAGCAGACGCCCTTTCCTTCAATATTTCCCTAAGAATACATTAGAAATGATAGTGAATTTAGGTTTGTAGATAACACTTACAACTCCCTCAACCCAGGGGGTGGTGAAGCACTGGGCATCGCAGTATCCGGTACCCCAGGCAGCGCCGCCGGGGTTGAGTTTGCTCTTGCCACCATCCGCCTTCATCTCGGAGAGATATAAAGCGCCGTTCATGCCGCAAGGCAGCTTGGACACGTCGACATCGAAAGTGAACTCCTTGCCGGTCAACTTGAGAAGCTCGTACTTCTGCTTGTTGGGCTCTAGGAGATAGATACGAGGGCTCGAAACACCATATTTGCCTTGCATCTCCATGCGAATAGCAGATCCGTTGGTGAAAACACCATTGTCGGCATAGTCGGCGATACCGTTGATAACGCAGTTCTTAGCACAGGTAGCCTCGTCAGGGCAGGCAATGGGGTCCGCCCGGCTTCCCCAGTTACCACAGCCCTTGGTGGTGTCGTTGACCTGATGAATCCAGTGAGATGCGGAATCAAGCACAACAGCCGAGTTTTGCTCCCTGCAGCCTCCGGCCTTGGTGCACTTCCATGTCTTGACACGCGGGTGATTGTCGGCGTCTCCCTTAGGAGTTTGGGCGGCAACGAGGCCTAGGAGAAGGGAAGCAACGAGGGCGAATGAAGGAGACATCTTTGCGTACGATTCTTGTCGATGATCGATGAGTACAACGAGTAGAATGACATGTTAAAGGGGGTAACCCAACGGCTTATATAGCACGAGCAGATCAACGCAAGCGGCCGG